TTGTGTAGAGAGAATCATTGCAAATAATGCAGGTTGAGACTTTGGGATTGACATGTCTGTGCATGCTCAGTCATGTCTGACTCTTTGTGACCCTGTGGACAGTAGCCCACCAGGCTCCTCTGTCCATGGGATTTCCCAGGCAAGAATACTGGAGTGGGTAGTCATTTCCTTCTCCAGGGGGTCTTCCTGACCCAGGGATCAAACCTGCATCTCCTGCATTGGCAGGCAGATTCCCAGGTGGCTCAGTGGTAAAGAACTGGCCTGCCAGTACAGAAGTAGCAAGAGACCTGGATCTGGAAGATCCCCTAGAGTAGGAAATGGCAACTCACTCCAGTATTCTTGCCTGGAAAATTCCATGGACAGAGGAGCCTGGTGGGCTACAATCCATGGGGTTGCAAAGAGTCGAAGACAACTGAGCACATGGAAGCACACGCGTGCACACACACACACACACACACACACACACACACACACACACCCCTGGGAATCCCACTGAATCTATTGATACTTTATTAGTAGCAAAAGTCCATACCTCATTCAGTTTTCCTTCATTTTTTTCCTTAATGTCCTTTTTCTGGCCCAAGATCCCATCAACAGTAGTACACTGCATTTAGACATCACTTCTCCTATGGTCCTCTAGACGTGACAGTTTATCAGATTTTCCTTATTTTTGATGACCTTGACAGTTGGGGGAGTATTTGTCAAGTATTTTTAAGAAGGTCCTGCTTTTGGTATGTGTTTGATATTTTTCTCATGATTAGACTGGCATTATGGGTCCTGATGAGGAAGGCCTCAGGAATAAACTGACATTTTCATCATATCAAGGGTACATTATCAACATGACTTAACAACTGATGATCTCACCTTGTTCACCTACCTAAGGTAGTGTTTGTCAAATTTTTCTACTGTATAATTACTCTTTCACTCTCCTTTCCATACAGTACTCTTTGAAAAGAAATCACTATATTTAGCCAACACCTAAGGGGTGGGGAGTTATGCCTCTCTCCTTGAGAGTGGAATAGCTATATAAATTGTTTGGTATTATTCTCTACATAAGATTTTTCTATTCTCTCTGATTTATTTAATCAGTCATTTATGGCAATGTAAACTCATGGATATTTATTTTATATTTTGGGTTATAATCCAATATTAGATTTGTTTTCCTGTTCATGTTGTTCCATTGCTATTAGTCTTTTTGCTTCTAAGCCCTCTCAGAAGATACAGCTTAGAAAATGTCTGTAATACTAGCCCATCTATGCACATATAGCTATAATTATTTATATATTTGTCCATCTGTATCTATAATTAATAAACTAATATTAATATAATATTATTAACTAAAGTCAATAGTTTATATGAGGATTCACTCTCTTTATTGTACAGGCCTTACAGATTTTGACCGATACCAATGGTATGTATCCACCATTACAGTATCATACAGAAGAGTTTCACTGTCCTAACATCCCTCATTCTTTGCTTTTTCCTATCAGAGTCTTAATACACAAATGGGTTTCTTGGAGACAGCATACAGTTGAGTCTTTTTTATCTGATCTGACTATTTCTGCCTTTTAACTGGTGTATTTAGAGTATTCACATTTGAAATGATTGTTGATATACTTTTACTAAAACCTACTATTTGTGTAACTGTTTTCTATTTGTTGCATTTGCTCTTTTCTATATCTTTTTTTCTGTGTGTGTGTGTTCTCTGGTATTAACTGAGCATTTTATGCAATTTTATTTTAAATAGAATAGTACTTAAATTTATTTAAATTCCTTATTTGGAAATTTCAAATTCTGTAAAGTAAAAACCTAACAAATGTTAACTGGATCAACAGTTACCATTAAACTATTGTGTTTAACCTCTAACTATTGATGATTGTTGATTCTGAGTGTCAGGTATATTGGGTTCATTTTACTCTTCTCTGTATGGTTGTATACCATTAATAATTTCTCTAGTGAAAATGTTCATTCTAAATATCATATCTTTATACCACATTTTCTTTCTCCAGTAATCTGTTGATGAGAAATTACTAAACTCATTTTAATAGGTGTGCTGACCTTTATACAGAGACCAGATAATGACACCCCAAGGGGGAAAAAAAAATAACTTGAGCTAATCTCACTTACATAGAGGCATCGACTACAGTAAATAAATTCATGGCATATCCAACATAGAAGTGAATAGAGAGGGTGAATTCAAGAAATGCAAAGCTATTATAACATTACAAAAAATTGTCACCTGGAATTTCTCAACATTAACAGATTAGAGGATAAAATGCATCGGATCATGTCCAGGGGTGTAGAAAAAGTCTTTGAATGATACTTAACGCCACAGTGAAAAACCTTTAGTAAAATAACAATTGAAGAGAATTTTCATTTCCTAAAATCTACAGCAAACTTAGATAAATGTGAATGTTAGAAGCATCAAAGTCAGAACAAAGACACAGATGTTATGGTACTATTTCTACTGTTTAAAAGTGGCCTGGAATACATAACTAGAGGAATAAGAATATCAAAATAAATAAGAGGAAGGAATATTGAAAAAAATGAAGTCACTCAGTCGTGTCAAATCTTTGCGACCCCACGGTATGTAGCTTGCCAGGCTCCTCCATCCATGGGATTTTCCAGGCAAGAATACTGAAGTGGGTTGCCATTTCCTTCTCCAGCGGATCTTCCTGACCCAGGGATCAAACCAAGTTGTCCCAATTGCAGGCAGACTCTTTACCGTCTGAGCCACTAGGGAATCCCAGAAAACAGAGTTTGTTCTGGGGACCATATGGGGAGCTAACCGGCCACTCAATGTTGAAAAGACAGAGATAATAAATGGCAACAATATGAGCCTTTAATTAGAAAACCCGAAGGAACCAGTGCACAAAATACTCAAGTGAGTAAGAGACTCCAAAAGCTGTTGTATATAAGATTACTATACAAAAATCAGGAGCCTGGCCACACAAAATCAATAGCTAATTAGAATAATTAAATAGAAAATTTAACAGCAGCATTATCCATAACAGCAGCAATATCCAAAACTTACCTAAAAAGAAATTTAACAGAAATGTACACGATCATTTTGGAGGCAACTATAAAAATGTACTGATAGAGAAAGAAATCCCAAATAAATAAAGAACACTAGGTTTATTCATAGGGAAAAGAATACTGTAAATATATCAATTTTCCTTAAACTATTTACAGATTTACTACTTGCTTTGGACTGAATTGTGCCCCACCCCACCCCCGCCCCTAATTCATATGCTGAAGCCCTAACCCACCCTTGTGATTGTATTTGAAAACAGGGTCTTTAAGGAGATTATTATAGTTAAATGAGGTCATAACAATGGGGCAAAAATCCAATTAGGCTGCTGTTCTTAAAGGAAGAGGAAGTGATACTAGGTATCACTCTCCATCTGTGTATTTACAGAGAAGAGACCTTGTATTCAGTTCCAGTTCAGTTCAGGAACTCAGTCGTGTCCGACTCTTGCGACCCCATGGACTGCAGCACACCAGGCCTTCCTGTCCATCACCAGCTCCTGGAGTTTACTCAAACTCATGTCCATTGAGTTGGTGATGCCATCCAACCTGTGAAAACAGCAAAAAGTCAAAAGGAGAGCTCTTACCAGGAACTGAGTCTGCCAGCACCTCTAACTGGAATTACTAGCCTCCAAAACTGTGAGAAAGTAAATTTATGTTGTTAAGACACTCAAGTCGGTGGTATTTTGTTACAGCAACCTAAGCATGTTAATACACTGCCTCATATGTAGCTTCCAAGATGGCAAGCAGACTTGGGCTGCTGTTTACTAAACTCAATCCTGGAGAAACTATAAAAACCAGAATGAAAAGAATAACACCAGCAACAACAAAACAACATAAATGAGAACCCCCTGGAAGAGACTAAGTCTGTGTTGAACTAGAACCTGAGCGTGGGCAGGTGGGGGCATGCCCTGGAGTTGAGACAGGTCTGTAGCCTGCAAGAGAGGCAGACAACAGGATTGGTTGGAGAAAGATTTTAAGGTTCAGCCTGTGGTTTCCTTCACTGTGACTTGGGACCATTTATTTCTACTGCTTCACTGAAGGAACCTGAGGCATCTCCTCAGAGCCCACCTGACAGGACAGCAACCAAAATTTGGTGTAACAGTATGAGTCCAGAGGCTGTGCAGTAACCACCTGAAACCTCTTTAGAGGATGAGGACTGATATTTTTTAAAAAGTTACTATTATGATCAAATATAAAGAATGGAAAGAATGAATCACACTTAACAAGGGTAGGTATTCTTTCATGAAAAAAAAATGCATATACACACCCACTTGCTAGAGATGTAAATATATTTCTTACTATGAATGAAAGTCAAAAAATAAAGTGGCCACACTGGACTGTGCAATGTTAGTAATATAAAAGATCTGAGTCTCACAAAATTCTGTAACGTAGCCTTTTCTCCTTAGAAAGTAGAACTTTTAGAGTAGAAGTTTCCCCAGAGTCTGCGTATGGCTGGCGAATAAACGGCTGTGGGCCAATGTACTTTTTCTTTTACAGCCTGCCATGCGTCCTGGGAACCTGCCTTGCACTGCAACTTTCCCGTCTGGTATCTAGCCTAGGACTTATCTATTTTCTGTAAGGTTTGCAGTACGGAAACAGCCCAGAGTTTTCAGAGAGTGAGTATTACCCAGGAAGCCTTTGAAGAAGCAGCTAAGAGGACACCCTACTCCCTGCCTCCACCTTGAGGAATGATGTAACAATCTCCCCCCACATATAGACGGACCCGCACACAGCCTCGTCCCTGCTGTCACTCCTGGGAAGCCCAGGGCAGAGCTGTCAGTAGGAGGTGTGGGCTGACTTCCCCCTCCAGGGTCTCAGGTCTCTGGAGGGGAGAGGCGAAGCTTAGAATTGTGGGAATATGCCTCCCTAGAATAAAGGAGACGGCACAGAACTCCGCTCTGATCTGCCACGCGCTAAGAGGCCCGTGGCATAGCCGTTAGGCCCAACAACCCCTCAGTTCTACCTCGAGGTATCAGGAAGTGAAGCGTTTGATCTGAGGCTAATGGTCTCCGATCAAAAGAGGAAACATCCCGGACTTTATTTGGAATTAGGGAGAGGAGCCTGAGCGAGGACTAAAGGTACACTAAACCGGGCACATACACTCACTGTCCCTGCTGTCTACCCTGGGAGACCCCGGGTCAGGCTGTCAAACTACCGGGCGGACGGGTCTCGGTCTGGTGGAGGGGAGGGACGTGGCGGAGCGGGGCGGAGGTGGTGTGTGTGGAGGTGGGGGGGTGGGGGGGGAGACATGAGTGACAACTGAAGACCCTGATAGTCCAGGACAAAGGGGGTCACATCAAACCCTGCTCCTGTTGTCAGTTCTGGAAGGCCCCAGCAGGGGTGGCCAACTAAGGCTTTCCTTCATTTCCTCCTCGGGGACGGGAGGGTCTCAGGGACGGAAGGCCATTTTTGGAAGCAGTTTAGCTTCAGAGCGGCAGAGGGGAGGATAGCCGGGCCCTGCCAACAGTTGACAAGATGATTCTAAATGTGAACTGAGAAGATTTTAGACTGTACCCCACAGAGCCTAGACCTGCCAGCCCAAGGCACACTGACTTATCTACAGGAGTCTCAGGGGGCAAGCTGATTAGGGAGCCCTGTGGGTTCTAGAGCAGTAACCTCACACAAACCTGCAAAGGTGGTCTTGGTTAAAGCCAGGGAGGAATCTCCCTGTTGAAGGTGCTCACAGCATCTCCTCCCTCCTCCAGGTGCCCTCATTGTCTGTCTTCCTGCCCACACTCCTGCCTGCTGTCCCTGATCTGTGTCATCATGCCTCGGGGGCAAAAGAGTAAGCTCCGCACCCGTGAGAAACGCCAGCAGGCCCGGAATGAGGCTCAGCATCTCCAAGATGCTCAGACCTCTGCAGCAGAGGAAGAAGAGTTCCCCTCTTCCCCTACTTCTCCTCTTGGTGGTAATGTCCAGAGCTCTCTTGCTTCTGGGTCAGACAAAAAATCCGAGGGGTCTGGGAGAGCCCCTTCCACTACCACTACTTCTGCAGGTGCTTCATGCACCAGATCTGATGATGGTGCTAAGAGCCAAAATGAAAAACCAAGCACCTCCCAGGCATTACCTAGCACTGAGTTTTCCTGTGAAACACCTCTAGACCAGAAGGTAACTCTGTTGGTGCAATTCCTGCTGTGCAAGCATAATCTGAGAGAGCCCATTACCAAACAAGATATGATTAAGCATGTCATCAAAAAGTACAAGAAGCACTTCAATGAGATCCTCAGGAAAGCTTCTAACCTGATGGTGCTGGCCTTTGGCATTGAGGTGAAGGAAGTCAACCCCGCCACTCATTGCTATGCCCTTGTCAGCAAATTTCAGTGCACTAGTGATGACAGGCTGAGGGGTGAGGAGATCATGCCCAAGACCGGCCTCCTTATGACCATCCTCTGTGTGATCTTCATGAAGGGCAATTGCGCCACTGAGGAGGATGTCTGGGAGGTGCTCAATGTGATGGGGATATATGCTGGAAGGAGGCACTTCATCCATGGGGATCCCAAGAAGCTCATTACCAAAGATCTGGTGCAGGAAAGGTACCTGGAATACCGCCAGGTGCCCAACAGTGATCCTCCACGCTATGAGATCCTGTGGGGCCCGAGAGCCCATGCTGAAATCAGCAAAATGAAAGTTCTTGAATTCTTGGCCAACATGCATGATACGGTCCCCAGTGCCTTCCCATCCTGGTATGAAGAAGCTTTAAGAGATGAAGAAGAGAGAGCCCGAGCCAGATTTGCAGCTATGTTTCGCACCAGTACCCTGGCCAGTGTGCATTCTGGGGCCAATGGCCGAGGCAGCTTCTCTCACCTGTAGTGAAATCTGAAGCATTGTCCTGAAGTAGTGTGGGTGCTTGGAGGGATCACATTGCATTGCATATTTGAATAACTTACAGGTTTATGTTTTGTTGTTGAAAGTTTTCAAATGTTGCTTAAAAAAATATTTCAAATGTTAAAAAAAAAAACTTTAGTTCAGAATCTAAATGTATGAATGATATTGGTTTACATACTTAATGCTGTTTATGAAGTTTAAGAGTAACAGTTTTGCTATTTTGTTAAATTAAACAAATAACCTTCCATCTCTTTTAGTGATCTGGAATAGATAAGATAGATAGATAAGAAAAGATAGCATTGGAATAGGCATTTCCTTAGAAATGCAAAAGAAATTAGAGGTAAAATAGTTGGGATAAAAAAAAAAAGAGAAAGAAGTAGATGGTGAATTCTTGGTTTCCCTTATTCCTTATATTTTCCTGTTCTGTAAAATAAAAGTTATATATCTGAACTTGGTTTTGTTTATTCAATAATGTAAGAGAAATAAAATCATACTAAATTGTTCAGTTTTTTCCCCTTAAACATTAATCGAGCAGTTGCTCTTTGGAAGGCTCCATGTTAGTATGTATGGAGTGGTGGAGGGGGGCGGTAAGAAAAAGAAGGCTGAGCCTTTTCCCATTGGATTAGAGTCTAGCAGTAGCTAGCATATAAGAAAGACAGTGATGTATATTATCTAGGGTGAAACAGATCACCAGCCCAGGTTGGATGCATGAGACAAATGCTCTGGCCTGGTGCACTGGGAAGACCCAGAGGGATCGGGTGGAGAGGGAGGTAGGAGGGGGGATCGGGATGGGGAATACATGTAAATCCATGGCTGATTCATGTCAATGTATGACAAAAACCACTACAATATTGTAAAGTAATTAGTCTCCAACTAATAAAAATAAATGGGAAAAAAATAAATTAAAAAAAAAAAAAGAAAGACAGTGAGGTGGGATGCCTCTAAGACAAAGACAAATGAAAAGGATGAGTGGGGTGGAGGGGAGGGCCAGATGAGAGCACTCAAGAGTAAATGTCCTGAGACAATACAACCTGGAGCCTTGGAAAAACCTCAAGTTCTTCAATGGGAGGTGATTTTAAGTGGTGGTGAGCCAGAAGAGGGTGTGTGAGGGTGGTGAGCAAGGGCCAGACCCTTGGGTCGTGTGTCTCAGAGTTGAGCAATTAAGCCTCCAAAGGAGAACTGCTTTTAGCAGTTACTTTGGGATCATGGATTAACTAGAGAGAAATCTCCACCTAGGGAGGGAATGGAAGGTATCCTGTGCTCCTGTTCCAGTGCTGGAGAATACAGTGGGCAAACTAGGTGATTTAGCCACATCATCACCAAGGAGTTACTGATAAATCAGGGTGATACTTCCTTGAGGTGGGATGCCAAGAAGTCACTCTGCCCATGTCACACTCTTTGCCCTGGACTGGAAGTAACAGAGCCTGCCTCATTAAAAAGGTATTTTGACTGGGTTAATTTGAGTGAAATTTGGCAAGCCCTAAGGGAGGGTTTCCCAGGTAGCACTACTGGTAAAGAACCCACCTGTCAATGCAGGAGATGTAAGAGATTCAAGTTCAATCCCTGGGTCAGGAAGATCCCCTGGATTCGAAAATGGCAACCCACTCCAGTATTCTTGCCTAGAGAATCCCCATGGACAGGGGAGTCTGGCAGAGTAGGACAGGACTTAGTACATAGCAAGGCTTGATTTTGGTAGGGGTTAGATGAATGAAAATGGGGTGATCTGGATCTAAGGCAGCTGGGAGGGAGAGAAGGAGTTAGTTCTTGACACACATTTTAGGAGCTCTGAGTTGCATCCAGATGGGGAAGAATCCCCAACAGCCACAATTAAATAATACAACCTCTATGGGGCATGATTTACTAAGGTATGTTTTCTTATTGAACAGAATTTTTGGCTGATGTGGTGTTCAGCATCCCATAGTACTGCATATTCTCAGACATCTCCTGGATTAAAACAACAGTAAAACAAAACAAAAATCTCAGCAGGAGGGTTGGTATTATCTGGGGTCAAAATATCATGGCAAAAATTGTCACTCTTTACAGTTCCAATGCACACTAGTCATTATGCCAGGTGTTTTATATACATTATACACATCCCAACAGCCCTAGAAGACAGAGCTTATCAAACACACTTCACTGAGGAAGAATCTGAGGCTCACAGAATTTGGTAATGTGTTTAGTTCACATTGCTAGTGACAGGGCAAAACTGGAGCTCTGGTCTGAATTCCTTCCAGAGCTCACATTGCTCCACTCCTCCCAGTCTGAGGCTGACCTTGTGTCTATTAATTCATTTCTTTTCACATTTCTCCAGAATATCTTTCTGGCAGTGAAAAGAAGGACACTGTGGCCAAAGTACTAAAAGCAGTCTGAAGAAAGAAGGTGAGAATGAGAATGAAACTCAATTTAGGGGGTGTCTGGGGGCTTGTTTCCCTGGAATTCTCCCACCCCTGGCGCCAGAGTTCCTGGAGAGCTGACCGCCCGGGTCCCAGCACGGGTGTGCGGTCCCGCCCGTTCCCGGTGACAGCGCCCTTCGCTGGGTCTTGCCCGGCGAGCCCTGTGCCCTCGTCTCCACAGACTGGAACCTGACCTGCCAGCCAGCTGTTCTCTGCATCCTCCTCTGGACGCTGCGCTCTGCTCGCAGAGGAACGGCCCACTCAGATGCCCCGCGCTGCCTGACTCGGAGCATCCCGACTCTGCAGGTTCCTCACCCGGGACCCCGGGGCCGCAGCTGCCCTTTCCCCGTGAGGGGTCACTTCCGGCAGGGAGGTTCAGACACCTCCTCATCCCCACTGGCTGCCCCCACCACGTTCTCGGTGTTTTCCAATCTGCTGGTGACCAGGGTCTGATTTGGCACAGAAACTATTGTTCGTTGGGCTTCCCCGGTGGCTCAGCAGTAAAGAATCCGCCTGCAATGGGGGAGACACGAGGTTCTATCCCTGGGTCCGGAAGATCCCCTGGAGGAGGGCATGGCAACCCACTGCAGCATTCTTGCCTGGAGAATCCCATGGACAGAGGAGCCTGGTGGGCTACAGTCCACTGGGTCCCTAAGAGTCGGACAGAAGTGTAGCAACTGAACAGGTACACGGGCTACTGGTCTTAGGGTAATAACCCTGAGGTTAGACAGGAGATTTTCGAAACCGCCCTGGCATTTTCAGGAGAATTTTAATGGGCTGAATTATTTGAGACTGGCCGCTGACCACACACACCAATAAGTGAGTTTACCTTGGTGGTCAAAACCAAAGCTTCCTCCATAAGAAGCAAAAAAAAAAAAAAAAAAAAAAACATGGTATAAGCAAACATTTACATCGAATTTTTAAAAACTAAGGTGTCCTTCTAGGAGGTAGGAAATTCTTCTGTGGCAGAGGTGCCATCCTTGATAAGAAAATATTCTTGCACTGCCTCTTGTCTCTGCTTCCCCCAGAAGAAAATTCTAGTTTTAAGTAATAGTGCTAAGGCTCTTATTGCCCCCAAATACTAAAAGTATGGATAAGTCACAATTCCCCTTCCCTATCACATTCCTCTAAAATTCACCCCTATCCTCAGAAGCAACTACAATTAACATTTTGTGTTATTTCAAAATTGACTAGGCTTTTTCTTACATATGTGTTATAAAAAAACACTGTGAGTTTTTTAATATACATGGATAACAGTGTACATATTGTTCTGCCTCTTGCCCTTGTCACTTACTAAAACAAATGTGGGATCTTTCCCTGAGAGCACATACAGATACATCTCACCCTTTTAACTACTCACAAGTATTCTTTAGTGTGTATGTGCCATAATTAGACATTCTCCTCCTGATGGACACAAAAATTGTTTCCCATTTGTTGCTATGATTAAAAAAACTTGCATGAATTCTTGGGCAAATATGTATGTTCTCTTATAGAAAATACATAGCCAAGTGCAAGCTGGATTGAACTGGAAAGAAGATGATGATTGTAAATTTTTATTAATATTGCTGATACTCTGTTCAAATAAAACTGTACTGATTCATATCCTCACATATTAATGTATGCAGTGTGCACTCTCATGGGAATTTTATTTTATCAACCTTTTAATTTTGGTCAAACTTTTGGGTGAAAATATATTGTCTCACAGTTATTTTAATTTCCCTGTTTTCTAAGTAGGTTGAGCAGAAAATTAACTTAATCTCTCATCCATAGAAACTGGGATTTCTTCAGTGATGCTTTGACTACCAGAATTCCTCTGGGCACACTTTAGAATTCTGAAATGCCAATACAATTTTCCTCTTCACTTTGAGAAAGAAGGATTGGATTGGAATGACCAGGTGTCAGGGAATGGGTTCAGACAGAACACTCCCAGCTAGTAAGGAACATTAGAAAGAACCAGAGAAAGAACAGTGATCAGAGTCCATAAGAGGGAATATGAAGTCCAGAGAGGCCAGGATTCCATGATACAACTTGTATCTAACTTGTCTACAGTGGCTGTAAACATTTTAGACAAGGGGCCTCTTGTTCCAACTTAAGCTTTCCTCAGAAATCCAGTCCGTGATTTGATGGCAGTTAGGATGTTGTACGGTAGCCATTATTTTTGGACTACATGCTATCCCTACAGCTTAGATCTGTCTGAAACGCTACTGAATCACTTTGGGTGTTCAGAGAGGACTGTCCCCTCTGGCTATTCAAGATTTAAGAGTCTCCCAGCCTTGTTTGCCTTCCAGTAGTTGTTCAGCTCACTGCTTTCCAGGTTTGTTTTTTTTTTTTTAGCTCCCCTGGTAGTTGCACTTTGACCAGCCACATGGAGTACTTCCCTTTTCATGAGCAGATTAATGTTCAGTGAAAGGCCCAAGGGGACCTTCTACAGATTTCTGGAGCATTAACTCCACCCAGCTCTCTTCTTTCCAACAACTTGCCCTGCAAATTACAGCGGTTTTCGTAGTACAAACTCTGCTCACTCTGTCCTTAGTTCAGTGCACTGTGCTCTGTTGTGGTTTATCCTCTTTGTACTACAGTCTAGACACTGCCTCTAAGTAGAAATACAGGGTCATTTGGAGAGCCTATCTCATCTGTTTTCCTACTTTTGGGGATCATAATCCTGCGCTGTTTTCCAGTCACCTCATATATTCTGCTTATTTTAAAAGTTGTTTATAGAAACTAATGTGGAAGTCCTCCCGATTGTTTTTATAATGGCAACTTTAAAAAATGTTTTAAAAGAGCTTCTCAATGAAAGTGAAAGAGAAGAGTGAAAAAGTTGGCTTAAAACTCAACACTCAGAAAAGTAAGGTCATGACATCTGGTCCCATCACTTCACGGCAAATAGATGGGGAAACAATGGAAACAGTGAGAGATTTTATTTTCTTGGGCTCCAAAATCACTGCAGATGGGGACCACAGCCATGTCACCATGGCTT